CAGTTCCAACTCTCTCCAGCGTGGCGTTTTGTTCACTTTGAATGCTTCCAGGCTCAGGGAATCCATGGCCCCTTTGAGATTTGCAGGTGAAATTCCCTTTTTACAGGAATTCAAATTGTCTAGAGTTCCCTGCTTCACGCACACCCCCAACCACCACGTTTCCTTTACCACCACCTCTGACGAGACCAGAAGCTTGAGTGTACAGGAGACAGGTAATATTTGTTCAGAGTTCTGAGCCTTGTGCAATGTCCAGCAAAGAGGACCAAGATGCTTCCTGAACGCACGAGCGAATGAGAACGAAAGGTATTGCAGTGCACTGCTTGGACACACTTAGAAACGACCCATCTGTCCCAGGGGTTGGCGGGGATTTTGTGTAATAGGCCAGAGTTCAGTGCTGTCCGTTTTGTGGGCATCTGGGCTTTGCCACAACGGCTGCTCGCGTGGATGTGAGGGCGGCCAGGCGTCATGACCGGGCATGGCTCCAGGAGAGCTTCCTTTACAAATCCCCGCAGGGAGCTGGCTCTGGCCTCGAGCTGGAGTTTACCAGATCGATCAAGAAGCACACGCTGGAATCATACAGCTAGATGTTCAGCTGTGGGGAGAGGGAGTCCAGAGACAGTGCTCCAGAGTCTGTAACTCCCACTTCACGTTCCACCAGACCCGGCAAGGCCGCTTCCAACCTGCCCTGTCCTCGGGGGCAGCAGCCTTGCAGCTGGTGAGTTGTGTGTGGAGGTGAGCTCCATCGGGGCCATACCTGGCTCCCCAAACCCGGTGCGCCCTGGCCTGCGCTGAGCACCGGTGACTCGCGCCATCATCGGAGCCATTCAGGAGGCCGAGCTTGGAGGACCGAGGGTCAAAGCCGGTCCAGGCAGGAAAGTGTGGGAGGCTCTCGCCTCCGATTAGCCACCAAAAAGCAGGAATTGAGAGCTGTGGCTTCAGTGGTAGCGTACCAGCCTTGAGTGAAGAAACGCAGCAAGAGCCCGAGGCCCCAAGTTCAGGCCTCAGTACCAGAACACACACACACACACACAATGCACACACACACCCATAGAAACAGGGAAACCCAGTCATCCTATGGTCCCTCTGAGAAGTTGAGACAGCCACTGAGCACAGTATGTATCCCTACTTACTGCATAGGACAGAAAACGCCCCCCCCCAACATAACCTAATGGGCAGAATTAAAGCAGCTTGGTCTTCCATGCCAGCATTTTTTGGCTAAGAAATAACTCCTGTTTCTTATCTTGTTGAAGGTGAAAAGTATGACAAAGGCAGTAGCAGAAGTACAGATTTGTATTGACTCAAGCGGAGATCAGAAAGATGACTCTCCATGCTGAGCATGTGGCAGGAGATGAGAGAAATCTGTGTCTTTTAAGTCAGCCATTATATATCCAAATGACCAGTGAGTGGGCTGGGCTGCTGGCCGCCGTGGCCAATGAGAAGCGACCCCGGCTGCAAACAGGAGCTTCTAGAGAAGCCGGGAATCCAGAAGTTTGGGTGAAACAGTCTTAAGTAGAGAGTCATCGTGGGAGCTCTCTGCCCCTGAGGTCATCAACTTAGGCAGAGAAGAGAGTTTTTGGAGGCCTTAGTCCAAGATCGACTGGCCTCGTTTGCCATGGGGCATCCTGATGCTTGTGGCGACCAGGAAACGGTGGAGGACGCCGCCTCCTGCCAGGGAATCCCCGCATCATTCATTCATAAACACACGTACTGTCATTATTAAGCTGATGCGCACAGGGATCATCGTTATGAATCACACGTCATGAGTCCACTTCTTTCTGGGCAATGTCATTCCTTGAAGCCATTTTTTTAAAAAAAGTACTCTAGCTGTGCTTTAAAAATGTATTTTATAGTTCTGTTGAAGGAAGGATCACGTCTGTGTACCAGCTCAAAGTTGCTGATCATTGGCACCCTCTGTATCTTTCCTAATTTTTTAAAAACCCTACAAGTTACTCAGAGAAGTGTGCTAAAATCTTCCGTAAGATGAAGATGTGTCCATTTCTCCACTTTGACCTGTGAAGTTTGCTCTATTTTGAGCCTGTGTTGTTATCTTCGTAAAGCTTAAGAGCAGTATCTTCCTTAAGCTTTTGACACTTGAACGGCCCCCCCCCCCCCCTTGTAGACCTGGTGTGCCTCTTACCTTAGCGCTACTTTTATACCTATCCGAGCAGACACTTGAAACAGTGTCAGCTTACGTTTTTATCATTGACAACAGCTTGGGCATCTTGATCCATCTTACTGTGGCATCTGTCTGGGAGCCATCGTGTCTTTCTTGGAGTTGGCTATTTGGGGTGCATGCTGAACAGATACTTGAATTCTCCCCAGCAAATGCCATGCTTTTTGATGAATACATTTGTGTGCTCTTCTATATGATTGCGAGTGTGCTTATGTGTACATTTATAAATTCTAGCTTCCATATACGAGAGATACATACCCTCATCTCTCTGGGGCTGATTTACTTCACTCAACGTAGTTTTTTCCAGTCCAGTGAAATATCATTCTTCTTAGTGGATAAGTTCCATTGTGTATATACACTACGTTTCCTTGATGCATTCATCCATTGAGGGTCATTTGGGTTGTTTCCATATCTTGGAGAGCCTGACTCTTAGAGTGAGCAGATACAATAAAGGATTTGTAGATATTTGGAACGCTCCTTATCATGTAAAATCCAAATCAAATACACAGGAATTAAACATTATAAAGAATAAAGTAAAACAACCAGAACCTGTGAGAGCTGGAACTTTTGAACAACCCACTTGGATATTTTTTAAGTCAGTTTTTCTCACAAAAGGTATGTCTAGGTGAATTGGCCTCATTTAGTATTTCCAGAATTCCTGCATGTATTAAAACAGCATATCGTACCCTTCAATACATACAACTTTAATCTGCCAATTAAAAACACATCACTAACGACTCAGAAACTTCATGAAAATGCTTAACAACGCAGCGCTGGGTCCGTGATTTGGGGTTGAAATTACCTCCAGCAGACGGGGCAGCCGGCTCTGACCCAGGCAGGGCACTCCACCAGCCCGGGCGGCGATGGTGTAGGAGCCTTCATGTTTGGCCTGGTGGGGGCTGGACAGCTGCTGGGCTCTGGGCTGCAGCCAGAAGGGGCCACGGTGCCGTCCCCAGCAGCCACGAGGCCCTGCGTGGCCAAGCTCCCGCCGGTGGGCAGCTCCTGCTCCTGCTGGCCTGGGATTCTCTGAGCCACAGCCCTCCTGGAGGCCGTCTGTCCATGTTGTCCCTTCAGTGCAGGGCTGGGCTGCTCTTATCTGAGGGAGGAGGAAAGGGCAAGTCTCTGGGGTCCGGGCGCCGTCTGGGGCCACTGAGTGTTGCTCTGGTCATGTTTACTCCGGGGAGCGTCTCTTGCCTCTCTCCCTCCCCCGGCTTTTCCTTGGCACAGAGGGGCGGGCGGCTTCCTCTCAGCAGGCCGCTCTGGCCTCAACTACCTGGCCCACCGCACACATCTGCCTCCCGGATGCCCCATGGAGCCCCAGACCCCCCAAGTCTGGCCTTTGCCCCCTCCTCCTGTGCGATGAGCAGTTCAGTCTCCAGTGGCAGAGCCTTGCTGTGCACAGGTGCACGAGGAGGTGCCCCAGGGACAAGGCCCCGACCTCACACACACACACACACACACACACGTGTGTAAGTCACCCATCCCAAGGGCAGTAGGTTTCTCTGGTGGGCGCTGTGCACGCTGTGTCTGAGACGCGTCTCTGCTCCTGGCGGTGGCTCGGGAGCCGTGGCTTGTGGGGGCTCCTCCCGCTTTCACATCACCAGGACAGAAGACAGACAGATGGCGTAAAGGCTCACGGCATCCTTTGGACGTCCTCCCCCCTCCCCCCCATCCCCAAAGAGAGACTGAAGTCGCTTGCCCTCGGCCATTCGGCTGGAAGTGCAGTGTGTGTCTTGGTGAGGAAGGGAGGGGAAGGGGCACTGTGCCCACGTTCTGGCCTTTGCCTGGCTGTACCAGGGACGGGAGCAGCCTAAGAGGCACAGACCACAGACGAGGGGGGGAGGGGCCCTCCTCTGGAACGCTCCTAGTGCCCTTGTGCCCCTCCCTTGCGTTCCTTGGCTGTGGTTTTCTGTTCCTTGGCTGTGTTTTCTGTTCCGTGCGCTCAGTGCCCCCAGTGTCTGTGGAATGCACACGTCTGTACCACCTGCCAAACACGTCTGGAGATGCCGGGCAGGAGGGCAGGAGGCCTCTCCTGACTGTCACGGAGACAGAAAGGGACAGGGGCGTTTTGAATTTGGAGGGTGTCTCAGCGCGGGGTGGAAGAGACCGCCTGAGGCTGCTTTGGAGTGAGGGGGGAAGGGAGGGAGGGAGGCCACCGGGCTTTTCTAGGCAGTGCTAGAACATTCTCTCTGACTTGGTCCACACTGGTGGGTGGATTGGATACCAAGGCCTAAAGTTTAGAAGAGTCTCTGGCCTTGTGCTGACTTCCACTGATTAAATGAGGTGATACAGAGCCTCCAGCACACTGTAGGTGGCCAGTAAGAGGCAGCTGCTCTGATAACAATAATTACGATAATACTGACCTGCATAACTGCAATTGGGGCACTATTTAGTAGCCGTGGGCATAGTAAACATGATACCCGTGAGTGGAGTTTACTGGGGCTGGGTGTGTGTGTGTGTGTGCGCATGTGCAATGGCAGTGTTTCTCCAGTGGGAAACAATGTTGTCAGCAAAGCATGAGTTCAGTACTTCCTGGTAAACAAAAGTGCTCTAGAAAAATCTGGTGTTTGTTTTTTAGAAAGGAGAAAGGCTGACCGTTGGTGCTAGGGGGTGGGCAGTTCAGGGTGTCCGTTCCGCCCTGGCTGCTGGCTGCTGTGCCCGCGGCCTGGCCTGGCACCGTGGGCCTGGGGCCACGTGTGGTCATCTCCGGAGCTCAGCAGCCTCTTCACCTGCACGCATCACGGCCGCCGCGTCCACCGCCCTGCACGGGATGTCCCTCACCCACAAGCCGCCCTGGCCTGACGAGGCTTCTCTCTCCTTGGAGCAGGAACACGCCCAGCTCATCAGGGACGTGGAAGTGGACAAGGTCTCGGCGCTCTCCAGGGACCAGGTGGCAGCCATCAAGCAGCTCTGGCGGGACCCCGGCATCCAGGAGTGCTACGACAGGAGGAGGGAGTACCAGCTCTCCGACTCGGCCAAGTAGTGAGTACTGGTCCCCCCGCGGTCCCCCCGCAGCTCCGACTCCCCCGTTGCTTTATTACTTGGTGCTCGCTCAGTACTCTGTGGACTAAATCTAGCCTCTGCCTTTTCTCTGTGTTTCCAGGGGAGGCTCACTTCCATGGGAGGCTCATCTGGGGGGGCTGAGATTATAATTTGAGCAAGGGATTGCCGCTGGCCCTGCTTCCCCATCCCTCAGCCTTTCTGGCCTGTGGGAGAAGACAGCAGGTTCTATTGCCCTGAAACCTGAGTATCAGCTCAGCAGTCAGCTGGTCTGGTGCTTCCCTCTAGTGGCCGAGAGAGGGACCTGCAGGCCCAATACACAAAGCCAAGCGTGCCAGGCTCCCATACTTTTCTAATTGTTATCATAAAGGTGATTGATGTACAAAGGGGTTACAGGTACCTAAGTCAGAAAAAGAGTGCATTTCCTTTTGGACTTTCCTTTGCACATTCCATTTCCTTCACGCTTTCCAGTTTTCCCCTTCCCATTCCCACCCCCAAACTGTACAGTTCATTCTCGACATAGTATCTAGTGAGAGCCACTGCTACATTTGTTCACTCTTTGCCGGCTCCCATCTTACTGTATTTTGGATCTATAAAACCCTAAGGTTTTTCACGTTATCTTTTACATTAAAGCTTTCATTAGTTTTGTTATTATTAAAGGTGGTGTACAGCTAGGCGCTGGTGGCTCACGCCTGTACTCCTACTCAGGAGGCTGAGATCTGAGGATCATGGTTCAAAGCGGCCCAGCCAGAAAAGTCTCCATGACACTCTTATCTCCAGTTAACCACTCAAAAACCAGTAGGGGAGCTGTGGCTCAAAGTGGTAGAGCGTAGCCTGAGCAAAAGAGCTCAGGACAGTGCTAGGCCTTCAGTTCAAGCCCCACAACCAACAAAAAAGTGTGATGTGCAAAGGGTTTTGTCTTGTGTGTGTGTGTGTGGGGGGGCGGTCCTGGCATTTGAACTTAGACCTAATGCTTGTTAAGCAGGCAGTCTACCACTTGAACCATGTCTAAGCCATCCGTTCTAGTTTTAAATCCAGAAGTAAGAATCATTTGAGATGGTTCTTTTTTCAAATTATTATTATTACTTTGGTTTTTGTCAGTGGTGGGGCTTGAATTCTGGGCCTGGGCGCTGTCCCTCAGCTCTTCAGCTCAAGGCTAGCACTCTATCACTGAGCCACAGCACCACTTCTGGCTTTTTCTGCTTATGTGGTGCTGAGGAATGGAACCCAGGGCCTCATGCATGCAAGGCAAGCGCTCTACCACTGAGCCACCTTCCCAGCCCCTGAGTTGGTTCCTATACGGACTGTCCCATGCGGATCACAGTCAGCAGCAACATCCGGTCACTGCGCAGAGCTTGGTCCTGTCTGAAGAGCTGCTTCTGCTGCTCAGCACCTCCCTCCTGACCGCAGACACTCATGGGTCGCGTGCGGTCGGGCAGCCCCGGGACCCATGCCCTCAGGTGCTTGTTATCCTTGCCCGCAGAGCAGAGCTCGCGTGAGTGCAGTTTACCTGCCTCGGAGCAGGGTGCAGGGCAGGAAAGGAAATGGGACCCCTCTCTGTGGTTTCTCTGGCTTCCCTTCGGTGTTTGACCAGGCTGAGGGTCAGTGTCATCCATCCAGACTGGAAAAAGTACAGGAGGAAAGAAAAAGCTTCAAGGCAGGAAGAGAAAAGAAATCCCCGTAGTGTTCGTTAGATCAGCCTGGAGAAGGAAGCGTGTCGAGGAAGGGCGGCCTGCCCGGCGGCCTGCGGAGGCGGAGGCCGGTCAGCGACAGGCCCCTCCTGGCCTCCCCCTTAGGCTGCTTGGTGTTCCAGGCTCTGTGAAGGCCCCGGGGACGAGGCTGCGTTGGACAAGGCCCACCAGCGTGGCTGCGGAATTCTGTATGACCCTGAAAGCATAGGACAGCGCACTGAGAGCAACGTGAGGTCCAGACAGGGTGGCGGACGCTTTGCCAGGACGCTCATAAACCCAGAGCCTCGCGGCCTGCAGAATGCAAGGCTCTTGAGCGTTTCCTTGGTCTCGGCCAGTAGTAATCCACCATCTGCTAATAACGTCTGCTTATCTGGACGTGTGTTGGCATCACCCAAATTTGAATGCCTGTGATGTCCCAGGGAGTGTGTGGGGAGAGCTGCGGTGGGACTCACGCTCTCCCAGGAAATACACAGTCTGGTGGTGTGAGTCTGTAATCACACACGAAAGTGAAGGATTTCCTCTCTTATTGCAGAGGCTACGTTTGCAAGATGCAACTCACACTGGATGCCTGAAGCCAGAGGCACCAAATTACACACACACACACACACACACACACACGCACGCATGCATGCACACACACACATGCACGCACACACACAAATATGTTGTCCTATCTTTTTCTATAGACATATATACCTATGATATAGCTTGTAAATTAGACATAGGAAAAGATTAGCAGCAGTCATGGTCATTTATATCAGTCATAACATAGAGCAGTGATTGGCTGGTCTCTAAGCTGAATAAGTGAATTTGGACAGACACGCTGCTGTAAGTGGCAGGGTACACGGTGTGGATTTGCTAGAATAGGGTGAATCCTGCCAGGCTGGGTGGGGCAGGGGTAGCGCAGGACGGTGTGGGATTGTTGTGATACTCGGATGACACTCCATTTAGAACGGGCCAGTTGTTACCTAGCTCTGCCCAGTAAAAAACACAATCAATGGATTAGCGATTGTTTATTCTTGGCATTTTTCCACTTTGTATTTTTGGGTGAGACTGTGTGAAGGGCAGGGGCCACACCAGGCAGAGGGTGAAAAGCCCTGGTCGTGGGACTGGACCACAGAGGCCTGGCTCCGTGAGCTTCATGGTGGAAGTGTGCGGGTGTTGCGTGCCGTTTCTGGAGTCATCTTCAGGCCAACCCGCTCAGAGCTCCCGCTGCCCAGGCTGGGCTGGAGAAACGCGGGGGCGCAGGCGCACCGGTTCCAGGGCGTCTGAGTTACCCACTGTGCTAACACCGGCCTTTTTATAAACCTCAAAATTTCCATTCACTAGTCCCACCAGAGGTTTCCACGCAGCAGACCGATGGGTGCGCGCAGTGCCTCGTTCTCCCGCCTCTCAGCTGCACACATGCCTCCAGTTCTGCTGCCACCATTCCTTTTTTTCTTCTTATAATTTCACCATTATTAAGACTCTACTCATAAGGGGCTTAAAATATATTTTAAAGCAACGGTCTCTCATTTCAATACAGAAAGATGTGTCTAAGCCCAGGACTTTCATACGGGGTCCAAAGTGCTCTTGAACACAGATGTTGGCTTGTTTCAGGAGGTGTTGGTTCAGAGGAGAGTGTGTCATTGTGAAAGGCTTGCTCCCAGACAGCCGTCCCGGGGAGCGGGGGCTGTCCCCTGGGTGGATAGAGTCAGGGACCGCGTCCACCTCCTCACAGCCACCGACAGGAGATGGGCAGAGGAGCCCAAGAGGTGCCAGGATGTGCAGATTTCCCAGAAGGATGGACATGCTCCCTTCTCTCTCTCTCTGTGTCAGTTGTGGGGCTTGAACTCTGGGCCTGGGCACTGTCCCTCAGCTCTAGGCTAGCCCTCTACCACTTAAGCCACAGCGCCACTTCCGGCCTTTTCTGCTTATGTGGTGCTGAGGAATCGAACCCAGGGTCTTTTGCATGCGAGGCAAGGGCTCTACCACTGAGCCACCTTCCCAGCCCCCCCTTCTCTTCTAAGGAGTCTTGGTTCCCCATTTGTTCCCGTCACAGCTACCTGACTGATATCGACCGAATCGCCATGCCATCGTTTGTACCCACACAGCAGGATGTGCTCCGGGTCCGAGTGCCCACCACGGGCATCATCGAGTATCCGTTCGATTTGGAAAACATCATCTTTCGGTACGTCTGTCTCGCAGCCCCAGTCCCTTCAGAGTTTTGCCCGTCTTCTTGGAAGTGCCCACATGGAGTCTTACATGTGTCATTTCCACCCAGGGTCCAAAAAGGCCAAGGCGGCAGGAAGAATGCTTGCCTTCCTGTTCCTCTCTGTTCTGTCTCTGGCTTAGCTTTTTCACTCAATTCTGACACTCTACCATTTGAGCCACAGCACTGCTTCCAGCTTTTTGTTGGTTAGTTGGAGATAGGGGTCTCTTAGATTTGTCCTCCGGGCTGGCTTTGAACCTTGATCCTCAGATCTCAGCCTCCTGAAGAGCCAGGATTACAGGTGTGAGCCACCGACGCCCGGTGGATGTCTGCATTTTCTGTCTGGAGTATTGAAATAACTTCTTGCCCAGTGTCTCCAAGCAACCTACTGGAGCCAGTTTGATATCTGTCTTCAGAAACTATATTTGCATTTTATACTTGCTTTGTTAGGAAACAGCCAGTGGTCTCTCAACCGCCCAAATCAGCATCAAACAAACACGTCAAATTTAAGACCTTGCTTCACTTTGTGTGTACGTGCGCACGCGTGTGAGCCAGTCATGGGGCTTGAACTCAGGGTCTGGGCGGCGCTGTCCCTGAACTCCACTTCTGGCTACTTGGTAGTTAGCTGGAGATAAGAGTCTCACGGACTTGCCTGCCACAATCCTCACAGTTCAGCCTCCCGAGTAGCCAGGATTTACAGGAGTGAGCCATAGCACCCGGCTTCCCTCTTCAAGACCGCAGACGCTGCTAGAATGGCTCATGTCCCTTGCTTTGTTGCATTCCAACCTTTTGTGATCGTCTACAGGATGGTGGATGTCGGTGGCCAGCGATCCGAACGGCGGAAGTGGATTCACTGCTTCGAGAGCGTCACCTCCATCATTTTCTTAGTTGCTCTGAGTGAATACGACCAGGTCCTGGCTGAGTGTGGCAGTGAGGTAGGCGCTCTGGGGAGATGGGGGGCGCTGGGGGAGGCGCAGCTCTGCGGGTTCTCAGGGCAGACTCCCTTCCTGAGACTAAACCGTCTTGGCTTGGCAGCACAGCCGTCAACTACACGCTTGTTGGATCTGTGAACTACAGGACGCCAGGCCCATTGCAAAAGCAGAGCCTGCATCTGAGCAAGGTCTCAGGAAATGTGTCACTGGACAAGAAGGGTTCATTCTGAGAAACGCACTGCTAGGCAATTTCATCGTCATGTGTCTACTAGCGTGTGCAACTCACAGGCACAAGTGTGTACTTGTTCCTAAGCCACAGGCCTGTTGTGCACATTACTGTCCTGCAGAGCGTAGGCAGTTGGAACACAGTGTCGGCAGGTAGGAAAACACTGGGAAGGTCCCGTGAGACAAGCGGACGATGGCTTTTCAGATGCATTTTAGACATAGGGGCCTGGCCTTATTCACATGGTTCGGTGTTCACCCGGGAATGAAGGGGCGTAAGATGGGACCGTCCCAGTCCCCTTGTGACATTGCGGATATTTTCTCTGGAGTGCTCAAATCCTCCGTGGGGGTTTTCTCCTTTCATAAGTAGACCTTGGAATATGCCTCTTGTTTCTAGGAAATCAAATCAGTGAAGAACCTCTGCTCAGGACTGGGCAGTCACTGTGAACCAGTCATACCTTACATTTCTTCTCAGCAGACTTTTTTTGCCCTGAGAAGTGTGGCTGCATTAGCTAATGGAAGATGAACACAGTTACTGCTGCTGCTGTGCAAAGAGTAGAGATCGTTACTGCTCAGGCTTCCCAAGTGGGATATCCAGTTATCAACAGAACTAATCGGTTCCAAATTTGTTCCAGGATTTACTAGTTTCTCAAGAAATTAAAACCATTAGTTGAGTGTCATGGCTCACAGCTGTAATCCTAGCTAACTCAGGAGGCTGAGATTAGGAGGACTGTGGTTTAAAGCCAGTCAAGGAAAGAAAAGTGCATGCAATTCCATCTCCAAAACACCCAGCTAAAAGCAAGACTGAAGGCATGGATTAAGTGGTAGAGCAGGAGTTGAGTCCCAACCCAGTACTCTAATTAGTCAGATGGACAAAGCAGCACTATCGAGGACTTACACAGTTGCCATTCCAGACTTGCCCTTCCTGGGAATAATACCTAATGTATTGTACCAGCTCTTTGTGCTGAACAGGAATTTTCCGACATTGCACTTCGTGTAGAGTGGAAAAGGAGTGGTGCAGGGAAGTGGGATTTATGGCAGAGATCTCTGAAATGTGGAATGAAGCCATGTTTTTCATGCTCCCTTCGCATCAGTAGTGCTGTCTACAGTGACCATCACTAGATGTGATCTGTGTGCGCATGTCTTCCATCAACGAGGCATAGCTAGCAAGCCCTGATTGCTAGTGTTTTATGTTCAGAAATTATTACTATCTTTGTGAATCATCTTCACCAGATCCCATTATTATATGGGTTTGGAAGGTTACTTACATTTTCTCAACAGCAGTATGGCTCACCCATGAATGGGGACACTCCCGCTTGTAGAGCGTGCTCAGAACAGGCCCTCGGCAGCAGCTGCTCCTTGTGGGCCAGGGTCTAGCATTGCAAAGGTCCCTAGGGCTGGTGGCCCGTGTGGCAGAGGGGTCCTTCTTGTGATTGCTTCCCGCAGTCTGCAAGCCCACAGCCTAATGGCACACTCAGCTCTGAAGCCACACATCCCCTCTGGACAGCCCGGCGGTTTCCTGAAACTTGACAAATGTGGGTATGAGCTTTCCTGCTCCAAGCTGCATGAAAGCATGTGTGTGCGTGAGCGCATGCATGCACGTGCTTCAACCCTAAGGCTCAAACTCAGAATCTGGCTGCTGTCCCTGAGCTTTTGTGCTCAAACCTAGCACTCTACCACTTGAGCCACAGTTCCACTTCAGATTTTCAGTGGCTAATTGGAGATGAGAGTCTCATGGACTTTCCTACCTGGGCTGGCTTTGAACAGCGATCCCAGAACTCAGCCTTCCTGAGTTGCTAGGATTGCAGGCGTGAGCCACTGGCACCTGGCCTTTTCTGCTTGCTTTACATGATGTGTTGGGTGCTCAGGAGATGAGATCCAGGTATGATTATGTAGTGAGAGGGGCCAAAGAGAAACAGAGGTCCAGTGCCCTGTGCGGCCAGGTGCTCAGCAGCTCCAGCAGTGCCCGGCGGGGCGAGAAGGCCCACAGATACACTAGCTATTTCCCATCTGCTGTTTTTCTTTCTAGCTTGTTCTAATTCCCTCACTTCTCACTCAGAATCGCATGGAAGAAAGCAAAGCCTTGTTTAAAACCATCATTACCTACCCCTGGTTTCTCAACTCATCGGTGATTTTGTTCTTAAACAAGAAGGACCTTTTGGAAGAGAAAATTATGTACTCTCATCTAATTAGCTATTTCCCAGAGTACACAGGTAAGCGCTCCCTGGGGAGTTCTCACTGGGCCCAACCCCCTCTGACCTGACTCCTGTCCCGTGCCCAGAATCCACCTGTCAGTCCCCCGCCAGCTCAGGCCTCTCCTCTCCACGAGGCCTTTCTGGCTCTTCCCCATCCCTCGGCCTGCGTTGGTGTGCGCCTTCTTGCTGTCGCCCTGATGCCCCTTATGTGGCTGACTCTGTACCTTGCTCTGCTGGCCACCGAGCTCTCCCCTCCGTCAGACTCCAGACACTGTGCCCATGTGTACCAGAGCACCTAGAGCTTCACTGGGGTTCAAGAGTGACCTCGGGCACACTGAAGTTCTTCACATACGCTGTGGGTTTGAGCTCAGAGGAGTTCTCATCCTGTCGTTAATTATTCCTAGTATAGGAGGTCTCAGATCTTACTAAGTTTGACATTACTATTTAGAGGGTAAGTATTTCAACATTGTCCTTTGTCTCATTATCCACTCTGGCTGTGCAGTTTAGAACCCTCAAGCTCTAAAATCCACGAGAGGATCCACGTCTCTTTGTAGGTAGCCTAAAATCAGAAGAATGAATTGGGCCATTATTTCAAAGCAAATCACTTTACAGTTCAAGTTTTAGATACTAGTGGACATTCTTCACATACAAATAAAAAGACACATTTGCCGGGAGCTGGTGGTTCATGCCTGTAATCCTAGCTACTCTGGAGCCTGAGATGTGAGGATCATGGTTCAAGGCCAGCCCGGGCAGGAGAAGTCCGTGAGACTTATCTCCAGCTAGTCAACAGAAAACTGGAAGTGGCGCTGTGGCTCAAATGGTGAAGCACTGGCCTTGAGCTGAAGAGCTGAGGGACAGCGCCCAGGCCCAGAGTTCAAGCGCCACGACTGACCAAAAAAAAGGAACAGGGACTCAGGTTAAATTATTACCTGAAAATAGAGCAAGGAAGACCCTAAGTAAAACGAGGACATTCAAAGATGATCGCAGGGAGGATGTAGCTTTACTTTTCTGTGTTCATGGCCAGGACCAAAACAGGATGTCAAGGCTGCCAGAGACTTTATCCTGAAGCTCTACCAAGACCAGAATCCTGACAAGGAGAAGGTCATCTACTCCCACTTCACATGTGCTACGGATACCGAGAACATCCGTTTTGTGTTCGCTGCCGTGAAAGACACCATTCTACAGCTGAACCTACGAGAGTTCAACTTGGTGTAGCAGGGCTGCCCACAGTGCCCGCCACAGGGGACAGAGCTCGCCAGGGCTTCTGCCCCCCAGACAACACGTACGCCACGGGGACTGGCCTGGGTAATGGAACTTGAAGACATTTGAGTTGACCAGTTCTTTTCAGTCTTTTCAAGTTGTTTCCTTTCCTGAGTGTGTTTCTTGCCTTCTGGAAAGTGTGTTCAATTTTGGATTTTGTATATTTGAAAGGCACCTGTGACTTACAAAAAAATTTGATTTGGTGTGTTTCATGGTAAGCTTTTGATTAAGAGGGGCTTGTTAACTTATATGCCAGGCCTTCCGCCTTCTATGACTAATTTTTTTAAAGAATGTTTAATGGGCTTCATGCTTTTTATTAAATTATATGTAGTAGACTGATTTTAAGTTTTCAGTGTTTCCTCTTTCCTGAGGAAGTGTGACTTTCAACGTTACCAAAGTTTTCATTTTTTCCGGAGAAGTTTTTGTGCGTGAACTGTTTTTATCTTTCCTTTTGATGCCACTGTGGTGCCTTCCCCTCAGCCTACTGCTCGCATTTGGCTGTACGGCTGGTGCTCTACCCCAAGCCATGCCTCCTGTCCATATCTGGTTGGTTAATTGGAGATGGATTGAGAACTTTTCTGCCAAGGTTGGCTTCAAACCTGTCCTCTGATCACCGCCACCTCAGTAGCTGAGATTACAGGCATGGGCCACTGGTGCCTGGTTGTGCGTCTTTTAAGCTACATTAGTATCTGTGTTTATTTGTAATTTGAGCTGGCCACGATTTGGCTACCATGAAGCCAAAGATATGGTAAATGGTCTGTAGCTAGCATCCAGATAGTTGTGGTGGAAATGTCTGTATATATTAATTCATATGGTCTAGTCTTGTACACCTATGAAATGGCCCAAAATACAAATTGTTTAGCAAATATGTAATTCCTGCTAAAGTTCTGAGGTCACCACAGATCTCCTGTTTGTATGTATGCTGTGCTTTCTGAGGTTAATACATCTTGTCACTAGCACTCATTTTGTTGTGTTTCTTACTCATGGCTGATGTTCTGCTTCTAAAGAGGAATGCTATACCTTATTAACTCCATATTCATCGTGTTATGCTGGAGTTACCTGGGTCGTTGGCTCTGGAAGACAGATGCAAAGTCCTCTTCCAAGTATGGGATTCAAATCTCGTGCCCAAGGATGCTTTTGTTTCTGCTGTGTGTGGTGTGTGCATGCGTACGTTAGTACCAAGGCTTGAACACAGGGCTCCGTGCTTTTGCTCAATGTATTGTTCACTGCTGGCATCTTCCCCTGGAGCTCCACTTCCAGTCCAGCATCGTGCTGGTTAATTGGTAACGGGGAGTCTTGCATCTAAGGCATATGATCAGTCTCCTGATGGTTTCCAACTTAAAGTGATTTAGCTGTAGGAAGGTGAGAAAGTGATACTCTCCTGGCAGAAGCTGTTTTTCAGGTTCAACCTGGGACTGGATACCTGCAGTGCCAATAAGGCATGCTTCCCCGGCAGCGGGCATGTCACACTACAGCGCCCTGTGCTGCTAGGCTATGGTGGGCCATAGGTTACATGCATTGTGCATTTTTGACTGAAGTATTTTCAATCTACCACAAGTTTCTGGGGAGATGCGAAGCGTCTGTACAGAATACAGCTGGGCTGGTTACACATGTGTTCGCATTCCTTTAACTATCCCAAGCTTGCTTTCTAGACAGCCACTGGACTGCTAGGCTCTCATTCTGTTGGGACAATCCCACCTGTGAAGCATTAAAGAGGAATATCAATACTGGAAAAGTCTGGAGTTACTCTGCCATAGCAACAGAAAGCTTTAAAAATGGATTTTTCTTCAAGAGATGAAGAGCTGGGCAAGTAAACCTTTGTAAAGGTCCAGGAGTAGCAGGGACAATTCTCAAAGGAACAGAGGACAAGGAGAGCAGCTTTAAAGGTATTTAGGAACACTGAAGACAACACCCTTTGATTCGCTGCTCTCCATATGACTAAAGGTTAGGAACTGGGTCTTACTGGCTACTTAGCTGAAGAGGGCTCAAATGACTCAGAACCAAGGCGATTAAACACTACGGATACTTGCTTTTGATTCTAGCATTGAGTGATTTACGTTTGGCTGACAAAACATACACGAGAATGACAGCTTTAATCACTGCTGCAGATGGGCTGGGCAGTAAGGACATTCCTAAAGCATGGGAAGACTGAGCCCCGTCTGAGGTAAGTGAATAACCTCAGACAGTACTGATTCTGCTCACAGTGTACTCTCCCCTAGCTCTTCTTTCAACACACACACACACACATTGCTGACAGACAAGAATGAGCCACTGGAAGTTCACCAAGTATTACCACTGGAGCCTGCAGTCGGCAGTGGTCGCCCTGGTCTGGAACAGGCTGACTTTTCACTGAACAACCAGGACTGTAGAGTCTTGGGAGGACCAATGTTGAGGCTCCACAGTGTAGAATTTAGGTAGGTAAGGGAAAGTAGTTAATCCAGTAACAATCAAAGCAAGTAGAGATCAGAAAACTTTATTAGACTCAACTGGAAGAAGACATCCGTGGTTAAGCTGGGGCAGTCACCCTTATTAAACACACCTGATCTGCCAGAAAGCACTGTGCAGAGAAAGGCCATTAGGAGCACAGCCAGTCCACTTTTAAGGGAAAAAAAGGCTGAGGTCAATTTCAGTAGTAAGAATTTCACTGTAGATGTTTGTACCCAGAAATTATCCTATCAGAATATGCAACAGTGACACAGAGGCCGTGTAACAGACAGCAGTACCACATTCCCATAGAGAAACCAGGAGACGTTGCAGTAATAGATGCTTTAAAAGTCCACATAACCCAGGACTACCAACTGTGCATCACAAAGCAGCAGTGGCTACTTGGTCAATATAAAAAATCGGCCAGAAACTATAGTCTGGACATTTCATAAATATGGAATTGTACGATTAAAAATTAGCATGAGAAATTATTTTTAAAGTGCACCTTCCCTGATAACTTCATTAAGTGTAATAGTTATATACAAACGATTGTTTTACAAAAGGCTACCTTACCTTGTAACAATTCCCAAATACCATGGTTTGCGGGTATAGTATGATCAATCACCGATACTGAGAATATTACAATGTAACTCATACAATATTATGCTTTTCAGCTCGAAGATTGTGAATTTTGGGATAACCAGACACTGGAACTATGATGGTTTAACAAGAAACGTTGAAGTTTCTCACCATGTTCCACTTGAGGTATAATTCTTAGACATTTAGTAACTCAGTCTCAGGATTTTTTTTGTTACAAGGCTTCACTAACAGAAATCCATTACTAAGTTATCAGCAGTAAGAAATGGTGTTTGGTGACAAGACACTGTCAAGGCAGTAGGTATTATAGTATGATACACATTTATATTTGTATAAAGAAATACAAAATTTAAAAATATACTAACTTATTAAGCTATGAAATCTAAAGTTTTTCTGGGTTACTAAAATTATCCTTTTTTTAAAAAATGCCATACATAGTGCTTTAAAAATAATCCATAATTCTAAAGTAAAAAAAAAAAAACAGTGAGATGGATATTTTTATAAAAGAGGAAATAAAGCAGAAGAAAGTTTCCATCAAACATCCATGAGGTCTGTGATGGAGCAGAATGCAGTAAGGGGTTGGCCTTGCTTCTTGGGGGTATTCCTGCAATAAATTCTTTTATACCAATTGTGGCAGAAAGAAAAGGGTGTGTTTGGCCAAAAGTGAAATTACAGATTATAAGAACCATAGATTTTTCAATTAATGCTACCTTGATTAGGTAAGCATAAGGTCTAGTGAAGCATATTTAAATGACTGAGTTCCTTTTTGGAACAAAGGAGCTACATGAGATACCAAAGAAACCAGATAGCAAAAGAAACCAGATTAAATTCTATGTAGAGTCTGCATCAGAAGTGCAAGTTACAACACAATTTTTGACTTGGAAATCCATTATTTTTAATTAAATAGGTACATTATTATTGTAGACTAAAGAACATTTTATCAGCTCTCCATTTTTAAGGGCTTTTGTCTCCTAGAGAAGCAGCCAAAAGGTAGGTAGAGCAAATTCAACCATCTCAAAAGGAAAACTTCTATCCCTCATTCTATGGTAACATGCTTAATGATCAGGAGATGGAAATACACCTAGCTAGGGTTACTTTTAGCTGTTTTTTTTCCTATGCTTTCTCTAGTTCCATTGAAATAAAATAGAAAATAAACTGTAACTTAAAAAAGATACTTTTGGTATTTCAGGAAACAGTATTTAACCTTCTTACATGTTCTTTTCTTTTGAAAATACTCCATTGTGAAGTGTGGTCCTGAGAGCCGACTCGTCCCATGCTCAGTCTACTACTGGGTTATAGTCTGTATCGGAAGCCCCAGTAGACTTCCTCTGAATTGTGCTGGCTGAGCCACCAAAACAGTGTGGACAGTGAGTGCTGGCTTCACTGATGGGGCACACATTCACTATTTTGTCTTTTGAATTCAGGGCCCTGATGTAAGGAGCATTTGGCACAACCTGAAGAATCAATAGTGGCAACAAATACCAAGGTACAGAAAATTCGGCACTGAGTAATTCTTCTTCACCAGGCAGGAACAGGACTTACTGAATACTATAAGATGCAAAGAAACCATCTTTGGAGAGGTGGGGATGGGCAAGTGAATGATGCTAAGAGACTTAGAGAAGTCCTCATTGGTGAGGGAACGGTGATGTTCAGCACACTGCCCTTGTATGTACATTACTAACACAGCCACTGACTGCCAGAGGAATTCCTTTGCTTACTATTTTACTTTACCATAGGACACGCAGGGTATTATGGATCTACACGTTCTCTGAGGGTTGAAATCATAATGAGTTATTTCACTAATGGCACTGAATGAGACTCAAGGAAAGCAACAGTCTTCATGAGCACAAGCTTTCTTGTTATCTCTGTGCCTAAGTTTGATTCTAATGTAACCAAAATTGGAGGCACTTAGCAACAGAAAATATGTAGCATAATTATGAGGACACAAAGTTATGTGAGTGGATTTGTCAACTTTTGAATCAATTTATGTTCAACAAAAAAAAGCATTCTGGGGAGAACTACTATTGATTTCCCCTCTAATTACAAAAATAATAGCAAGAAATACAGTCTGGCATGCTGTTTTAGCTTTTACAACAAAGCAAGGGTTTAATGAGCCTGAGAATTTCACAACCATTGAAATAGAATTTGAGATTCCAAAACAGTTTACATATAGCAAGAACACTATACTATTCTGTTCATATACATTCATCCCCTTTCAATACTCCATTAATATTAAGGTGCAAAGATCCTGGACAAAAACCAAGAGAAAGAAAAACCATAACCTGATTTTTACTAATGAGCTTGTTCATTTAAATAAGCTATTGCACTTTTAAGAATTCCTGGTTTGCTTTCTCTGTAATTGTCTATGGCCAACTGGATAGGTTTTGAGTTATAGTTGAGGATACACCTGCTTTTGTGATGCATAACTCAATGTAAGATGCTAAAAATTTTATTTCTTGTTACAGTGAGCAGAAAGTAATTAAGGCTTTAGGGATTTTCCTTTAAAAATACCAACTGCTAAAGTTCTGAGAGGGACTTTTTCCCCTTTTTGGATACATGATCCATTCTTTCCAGCCTTAAAGCTTGAAAGAGATTGTTTCCATAATCATGCTATGCATTTAAAATACATTCAACCCCCTTTTAATTTAAAAAAGGAGGAAAATAATACCAAAATATTTACTTTTAAAAAGAACTTTGTGATTCTGAAAAAAAAAAATCACCACCAAAGTTCTCTTGAGAATAGTGAGGTAAGGTCATTTACCCAACACTCAGAAGACTGAAGCAAGCATGAGTGAAGTACAGCTTTGCTCTCCATTGACTGACTAGTGGCAGTCAGTCTCTCCCTCACTGCAGAGAATACAATTCTTTTAAGAATCATAACCAGATGCATGATTCAACTTAGAAAGCTGAATGGATCGGACGTCTTTTAATCGCACAG